AGAATGCTTCCTATCAGATTCTGCACCCAAGTCCTGGACTGTTTATTCTGGCCCCTGGTGATTATGTTGATATAAGGGATTTGATGTTGCACAGGGGCTGTGGCATAGAAACTCTAACAGTGGACATTCAGGCTCTAAGAGGTGACCATCAGTCACCAAGGAGCCAGATGGGAGAGAGTGGGTACGTCAGAGCAAACATATCCCAGTGGATCAACAACACGAAGTACATATTCTACCTGCTCTAAAAATATTGGCATTACAGTTGCTATTGAGTTAACTCCAACTCATAGCCACCCCACGTGTTTCAGAATAGAACTGTGCTGCATAGTTAGTTCCCCCCCATACACACACACACACAGTTAGATGGTTTATTAGAAAAGTAACAGGCTGTAAGTCAGGATCAACTTGGAAGTAATATGAGACAATTCAGGAGACAGTATACAGTTCTTCAGTTAGGACAATTTCTGACCAAGGTAACCCTTAGCTGCTTCTTGTCAGTGCCCACAGGCAGGCCCTTCTCTTGGCTGTGTCGGCCGCTAGGCCCTTCTGTGTGCCTCTGCCCTGCTTGGGCAAGTGTTTCAGCTCTTCAGTTTTGCTCTGTAGGGTTTTCAGTGGTTGATTGTTTAGAAGCAGATCACCTGGCAGTGGACTCAACCCTCCAACCATTCTGTTAGCAGCCAAGCACTTCTGCCATCTGCACCCCCCAGGGACTCAATCCTGGCATAAACTTGGCCTTTTCAAAGGGACTCATCCATGTATCTGGCACTCAATGAATTTATTTATTTTGTATTTCTTTGATCACTAGAAGGTTGAATTTTGTCACATGGGTTTACTGGCCATCTTCAGTTGATCATCTGTTGATCCTGTGGCTGCACACAAAAATGTCTTTGAAACCAACCTTGTACATGAGCCTCCTGTATCAGTCGATTTTCTCCATACTTTCACTGCTCCCTTACTTGCTGCCATGAAATTGTCACATTTGATCCATCATAAAATTAATTTCAGGAATAATGTCAGCCCTTGTAATGACATACTCCCTCTGGGCTCTTGAATTACACTTTCTTTGTGCCATTCAGCTCTTCCTGCTGGGACTGCGAGCAACAGAAGCAGAAAGGATCCTATAGCTTTTCATTTCTCCCACACACAGGGCTCCCTGCCAGCCATCCTCGAATCTCCACCAGCTTTTGATCTGAACAAAACCTTGTCCAGTGCTAAATATAGTTTTATTCAACGAAGCTGTAGAAGGTGCTGTCTACTTCTAAATCTAAGCTGGGCAGGAAAAAGAACATTTTACATAACAAGTCAGTGTTAGCCCCGTGACAGATCATCTCCTCTCACTTTTTTTTATTGGGCCAAGGAGTAAACTAAGAGACAGGACAGTTGAGTGTCCTGCACAGTGTCATTAAATCCCAATTATTATAACATCCAGGGGGTGCCCTGTCTTAGCACATCCCTACTCCTATGTAACAGACAAGAAACATTTGATTCCCTAAAGATGGGAAATTGCTTGCAAAATCCAGTTTGTGCTTCCCAGGAGAGGGCAAAACTAGGCCTCCCACAAAAAAGATTTTATCCTTTTTTTTTTTTAATGTATGTTTTCTTGTAGTCAGTTCCCCAGTGAAAAAAAAGTTCCCTCCTGAAGGATTCCAGATCTTTACCCAAACCACAGACCTTCCACGTGAAGCTATAGTGCTCTCCTCAGTTTACCTGTGGGGCATCCTCACTCTTAGTTACTTGTGGTACAGATGCCTCTAGTGGCCAGGAAAGTGTGCCAAAGTGTCAATAACTGGGGTAGAGCCAAAGGCCTGCCTTGAAGGCAGGGACTTCATCCACATGGTTCCCTGCTTTCTCCCAGCAACTGGAGCAGAGCCTAGACCACTACAAAACAAAAACAAACAAACAAACAAAGACCAGTTGCCTTGGAAAGGTGACCTTAAGTGTGTCAGTGCAGATCTGTGCTCTGTGGGGTTTTCAGTGGCTGATTGTTTGGAAGTAGATTTCCAGGCCTTTTCTTTAAAGTGTCTCTGAGTGGACTGAACTTTCAACCTTCTGGTTAGTATCTAAGAGCTTGATGGGGGTTGGGGGACTCCCCAGCACACCATAGGCCATCAAGGAAATTTGGTGAATAAATGGTGGAGAATGTAAAGAACTGGAAAGCACATACCTCACAAAAGGCATTCTGGTCCAAAAAGCATGTCTATGGGCAATACGGCTTCCAGCTTGCAACTCCTGTGATTAAATAATAAAGGCTATTTATGGATGGAGTAGAGTAATGGATGCCAAACAACAGTGATACCTAACTTTTTCCTTTGATGTTATATGTTCAGTTGGAGTCAGGACACAGATAATGCTTTTTGTTTTGCACTTCTTAAGTCCTTCCCATTAGTGGTCTTGGCCCATCAATGTCCCTGATTAGAGATTTGTGTGAATTTTCAAAACTTCTCTTCCATAGTGCTCTGATGTAACTTTTTTTCCTAAACCTTAGTTTTACCTTTCTTTCCAAAACACATACAAAGCACTTCTACTAAATAAGAGCCAAACTTTCAAAATATGTGCTTTATTTGCCAAGAGAACAGTACAAATATGCTTTCCTATGCTGAGTTGCCTTTTGTAAAATGGACTTAAACAGTGATACCTGGTTTATGCCAACATCATTCTGAGTCCAATTCATCCCCCAAATCAGCCACACCAAGTTACAGGGTCCTGGAGAATGAAGGGACAGGCCCCTCAGGCTTTTTTCTAAAGGTGGTGAGTTGGCCCTGGCTGCTCCCTTGGACACTGCTCTTATTCTAGTGTGTCTGCATCACCTTCCCTCCATCCAACTGTCCTGATATGCCAGACCTAAACTTTTTGGTATGTAGAAAAGTCCCTGGAATCAGGAGTATGTCTGTTGGGTGAGTCAAGCAGCCATTGTGGGAAGGAAATGGTAGTGAACAGCCCTCTGAGCACATGTGCCCTATCTAACCCAAGGACAGGCTGACAGGTATGAGATCATGTGCCTCCACATGGAAACCCAGAGTCAGCTTCTAGACTGTGGACTCACCCACCAGCTCATCCCTTATCTCCATCCTCCCTTCTGATTCTCTAGTGAAGTAGAAGAGCTATTTAAAATCTCCTCTGGTAAGGCAAAACATGCAATAGAACCCACCCAGAGGAACAAGCTTTGCAAATCAAGCCACAACTATTATTAATATTTTGGCTAGGATACATGAGTCAGTATGTACTTTAGAAAAACACATCCCACCAAAAATCCATAAACCCATTGCTATCAGTTGATTCTGACTCATAGCTACACTGTGGGGCAGAGAGAATTGCCCCGTATGGTTTCCAAGACTCTAAATCAGTATAGTAGCAGACTGTCACATCTTTTTGCTATAGTGCAGCTTATGAGTTTGGACCACCAACCTTCCAGTTAACAGCTAGACACTTAACCATTCCATCACCAGGGCTCCTTACATCCCACCAAAGGCATTAAAATCCAGATTTTCTTAAAACTTTTTTCTTCTTAAAAAGCTTATGGGCAATATCTGACTTTGATATACAATCCCTGTGATGGGTTAAGCAGAATTGTGCATATATGAAACAATGACTGCCAAACAACATTGATCCCCAACTTTTTGCTTTGGTCCCATATGTCCATATGGACTCAGAGATGCAGATAATTCTTTATGTTTTAAGTGTCTCTGCTCCATTAATGACCTTGACCCAAACCTGAACTGATTGTCATTTTGAAGCATGAATATAAAAACTGGAAGTGATTTGTATCAGGAAAATGTTCAGCTGCAAGTAACCAAAAACCTGGCCAACAGTGGCTTCCACAAATAGGAATTTATTTTTCTCATGTAACAAGATATATAACAAGATGTACAGAGGATGCTAGTGACTCACAGAAGGTCAGCTGCTCCAGTGCTATCTGGCCCTGGGCTTTTTCAGTCTTCCTGTTCTGTCTTACTCTGAGTATTGGTATTCATCCTCATTCTTATTGGCTCATAGTTGCACATCTGTGTTCAAGACAGAAAGAAGTGGGGCAGGGGTGGCATCACCTGCATTCCTTACCCCAGTTAGGAAAATAAAAGCTTCTCTGTAAGCCCCCACAGTAATCTTCCTCTTGGGCTCACTGGTCAAAACTGTGCCCTCCAGCTACCCTCCACTTGCAAGGGTGCCTGGGAAACAGAGTACTTATCTGTTCAGCCTTTATGGGAGAGAAAAGCCAGGGAGACTGAGTTGAAAATGTGTGTACATAAGGTGACACACAGTGTCTCCCAAGAGACTGCAGAGAAATTTTATTCTGTCATTGAACAGATGACAAAACTGAGCTCCCAGAATGGGAAGTAACTTAGCCAAGGTCCCATGACTAGATGAAGTTAGGGAAAGACATAAAGCCCAGGTCTCCCAACTCCCAGTATGAAAAGCTATCCACTAGATGCTGAGCCTTTTTTAAAAGTTATGAGAAATTTTGGAAAAGGATAGCGGTAATGGTTAAACAACATGATAAACATAACTAATGTCACTGAATTGTACACATGAAGAATGTTAAAATGGCAAACAATTTGTTACACATTTATTTGCCATAAGAAAAGGGAAAAGGAAAAGGAAAAAAAGCTATCCACTACACCAAACTACAATGGTTGGAGAGTCTATAAATGGAGAAGTTATGTTGAGGAAATAGAATATCATCTGGCAAATGAGGTATTGGGTATAAAACCATCAGTGGTGTGCACAGAATGTATTAATCACCACTGAAGTGCTCATTTCTCTGCCTGAAGTATCTGAAATACTTTATTGAGTCATAAGACACAGACCAAGTCAAATGAGGCCTCTTCCAAGTTCCCTCCTACTGAGTAGATTGCTTACTTGTCATTCCTCAGCACATCGATGTTTGTGTGTATTATAATGGAATCAATCTCATGATGACAAGCACCATGATACTGTAGAATTTCCATGTCCTTGTTAATGTGCTGTTCTTGTCTTCTGTCCCTTTCTGTTATTGAACCAAACAGAAGTACTCTGCTGTTTCTCTCTGCAACATCTCCACAGAAGTTCTGAAAGTCATCAATGCCACAGAGGAGTTGATAGCAGAGTCTACAGGGCCCTGGGAGTTCCCACCACTCCCTTCTGACAGGGTGAAGGGGACGTTTCCTCTTGGGACAGACCAAGTGAGACTGGATGAACAGCTGACTTCCCTGGAAGAAAATGTAAGAGGGGGTGTGTGTGCCCTGTCTAGGGTGAATGTATGCAAAGAAGCTGGTAAAGTTACAGCTCCTCACTTAGGGTACAAGGGCACATATACATGGCACCACAGCAAATAAATTCTTAGAAAGGGTCTTAAACTGGTTTCCCCAGAATCAGAGCCTGAGATGGGGATCTGCATGTGTGTAGTGGCACAAATGATTAAGATCTCAACTACTAGCTGAAAAGTTGGCAGTTAGGACCCACCCAGAGGCAACTGAGAAGACAGGCCTGGTGATCTGTCTTGAAAAGGTCACAGTCTTGAAAACTTTATGGAGCAGTTCTACCCTGCACATATGATGTCACTGTGAGCTGGAATCTACTCAATGGCACCCAACAACAACAGTTTCATTAGAGATGTGCTCCCCAGCGAGACTAGTAAGGGGGATGTGGTGGGAAACGTGAGTGTGGACAGGATGCTGCATCCTGATTGGTAACTTCAGAGTCAGGGGAAAGCTCTAGTTTCCCCATTGAGAAAGTATATGCAAGTGTTTAGTTTGGCTAACAAATGTGTCTGCTGGTAATGGATCTTTCTGTTCTTCTGAGTTGTCAGGACAGAAAGTAATAGAGTTTTACTTATACATAGTCACAACTGTTGTTGAGTATTTTGGTAAATTGCTGACAAGAATTTTCCAACACAAGAAATTAGCAGTGGCACTAACAGAAATTTGGACATAAACCACTCAGCCTAGAGTTACCATCACTGGGTAGCATGGTTCTTCCCATAAAGCTATCAAAAGAGTAAGACGATTACAACCTTTCAAACCTACCAGAGTCAACCCTAATTTTGGGGTGCTCTGACGAAGCCAGGATAGCTTGCTAGTCCCAGAAATCAGGAGCTATTATTAGAGGTACTTTTTTTCTTCTTCTTTAAATAGGTTTAATTCATTCTTTTCTCCCTTGCTCGCTCGCTCACTCGCTTTCTCTCTTTTTTTAACATTTTATGTGGTTTGAGTGAGAATTTACAGAGTAAATTAGTTTCCCATTCAACAACTTACATACTTTTTGTTTCATGACATTACTTGCAATCCCCTCAGTTAACAGCATTCTTCCCAATTCCTCCCTGAGTTCCCTGTCTCCATTTACCCAGCTTTCCTGCCCCTTCTTGACTTCGGAACTTTGTTTTTGGGCAAAGGCTGCCCTTTTGGTCTCACATGGTTCAAAGTTTATTGTTTCAATGAAAGGATCTCTGGGGGTAGGTTCATTTCCAAGTTTGAAGGGTGTCTAATAGCTGTAATCTCAGGAGTTACTAAATGTACTTTTTGCTAAAATTAGGAACAATAACAACAAAAGCCAAAATGACTCAAGGTAAAAATGGCAGTATTTGTTTCACTTTAAAAGTTGAAGACCCTCTCCCTCTGGGATCCCATAAGACTTAAACATGTCTCTATCTACCTCCCATTAGATCAGGGCTTCTCAGCCTCACCACCGTTGACATGTTGGGCTAGATAATTCTTTGTTGTGAGGGACTGTCTTGTATATTGCAGGAATATTTAGCAGCATCCCTGTTCTCTACGCACTAAATGCCAGTAGCACCTCCCTAGTTGTGACAGTCAGAAATCTTCCAGACATTGTCAGATGTTCCCTAAGGACAGGAACCAACCAATTGCATGGACTTGATTCCAATTCATGGTGACCTCGTGTATCAGAGTTGAACTGTGCTCCTTAGAGGTTCCAATGGCAGATCTTTTGGAACTAGGTCACCAGGCTTTTCTTCCCAGGTTGATAGACTTGAATCTCCAACCTTGAGGTTAACAGAAAACATGTTAACCATTTGCATCATCTGCAGACAGAGAAGAAGGTGCAGAATCACCTTCAGGTAGAGACCCTCTAGAGCAGAGAGAGAAATCCTTGCAGAACAGGGACTGTTCCCTTCCATCTCTGCAGCCTCAGCCTTTGACCCAGGGCCTGACACAAAGGAGTCCCTCAGCAAATGTGGATCTAATGTGTGGTAACATCAGATGAATAAAGCCCCTTGTTAAGAGAAAAAACATTTTACTTCTTATGTACAAGGATATCTGTTCTTTAATTGTGTTTATAATACAGCTCTTTCAGTACTAGTGGTCCAAAAACAGACAAAACAGGTGCTGTTGAGTAGATTCAGACCCACGGTGACCCCATGTGTTTCAAAGTAGAACAGTGCTCCCCAGGGTTTTCAAGGCTGTGACCTTTCAGAAGCAGACCGTCAGGGCTTTCTTCCAAGGCTCTTCTGGATGAGTTCAGATGCCAACCTTTCAGTTCATGATTGAGCGCTTAAGCCTTTGCATCACCCAGGAACTCCTGATGGTCTGAAGATGGCCCTAATCCTGGACACAGAGAATTGAAAAGGTGAAAGTTCAAATATGTTTCACCAGCAAAGGAATGCATTTAAAAAAAAAAAAAAAAAGTAGGGTATCAAAAAGCTTACAATACTAGGTGCTGAGTGAAATGCTCAGATTAAATGACAGTGGTCAGTGCTCCTGGCACACCTAACAAAGCAAAGATAGTGCCTTTTCTGTCTCCAGAAACATGCTGAAAAATGCAATGGGCTTATTAGACTTTTCATTTTATGAGATCTTTTTACTATACATTCCATTGCTTTTCTTGGGCTTGATAACACTTTCAGCTCTAAACACATCCACTTACCCACTAATTCCAGACATCAGAAGTCCCAGCAGGGAGGTGGGGCTAAGTGGTCAGGTTGTACTTTACTGCCCCCCCCCACACACACACCCAGCTTCCTAGCCAGTGCTTCTCCTGTTCCCAAAGAGTTAACCACCTTCTCCTTCCTCTATTCCTGCCCCAACCCCACCTTTTCAAATTTCATCTCAGAAGGAGCTCTATCTATATTCCTGGTGCCTTGAATTCTATGGGCTTTTGAGTCAGAAAGGAAGACTCTTCTTTACCTCTCTTTCATTTATGAGATCACAGAGTCAGCGCCTTGCCTGGCACTGCCCTTTCCAGGGTGGAATTCAGATGGGCAGTGGGAGAAGGGCAGGGTCCATTCTCAATGGGGCTCTGGATGTGGCCAATTTAATTAAATCATGGCTTTTGTTGGTCTGTGTGATAAAGAGCTCTCCTTCACTCCTAGGCTGCCTTTTTCCTTTGTGCCAGGAAACAAGGGGTGGGGGTGGGGGAATGACTGTCAGAAATAGAAATGGTGACACTTATACTTGCCTTCTGAACATTGGCTACCACAGACCAGGATTTCAACATAAAACAGAACATTGATTGAGAATGTTCATCTCCAAAAATGCTTCTGAAGATTTCAGAGCTACCTAAGAAAAAACAAAGGAATGTCACATCCATAGATTGATCTCTTACTTTCCTCACCTGCTTTGTTAAGCCACTTAATTAGCAGAGGACATGGGAATTTGAGAATTCCCTCTGTCTTTCAGCTGTGGCACTTCCCACCTGCTGCTTGGTATGAGCACTGTGCAATCAGCTCTGGGTCTTCTAAAGGCAGGAAGCACCTGAGGAAATCCCAGCGTCCACCTAGGCAAGAGGCAAGTCATGCACACAATGGGGGCTCAGTTCCATGAACTGAAGGAATGTCTGGGTCTTTCAGTATTTTATTTAAGCTCTTGCTGTGAAACAGAGAGTTCTGTTGTACCTGTGGGGCTCAGACTAAGTTGCATGAAGGGACTATTTACTAGGGTGAGTAGGAATTGACTCACCTGCATGTTTTGTTTTGTTTTCTTAATTGTGATTTGGGTCAAAGTTTACAGAGCAAATTGGTTTTCCATTCAACAATGCATACACATTCTTTTTTGTGTGTGACATTTATTTCAGTCCACACACTAATAACATTCTTCCCACTTCCCTTCATCTTTCCATCCTATCCCCTTGTGCCTTCCTAGCCCTATCCTGGGACAAATGCTGTCCTCTTGATCTCAAATGCTTGATTGTTCTCATGAGTGCATACTTTCCTGGTATTACTGTTCACCTTATAGGCCTGTCTGTCTTTTGGCTGACAGTTGAATCATGGAAGTTAAGTCCAGTTCCTAGCTTGAAGGGTGTCTAAGGGCCAGTCTCAGGGATTCCACCAGTCATCAGACTAGTAAGCCTGGTCTTTTTTGTGATTTTGAGCTTTGTTCCACATTTCTTCCTGACTGTATCCAGGACCTCCTATTGTAGTCCCTTTCAGCACAGCTGGCCATGGTAATGGGGTACCATTCAGTTCTTCTAGTTTCAGAGTTGTGAAGGCTGCAGTTCAGGTGGTCCATTCTTCCTTTAAACTAATTTTTCCTTGCCTCTTTCATTTTATTTACTCTTCTTTGCTCTGTAGGGGAGAGACCAATAGTTGCACCTTAGGTGGCCACTCACGAGCTTTCAAGACACCAGTCACTACTCACAAACTAAGATGTTATGCCAATTGACCTTATTGTCCCCTGAGAACATGGTCCTGAGCCTCCATACCCAATGATTCAGTCCCTCAAGGTATTTGATTCTGACTAAGATATTTTCATAACTTTGTCCCCTGTATGTTCTACTAAATTCATGGATATATTTGCAGCACATATAAATACATAGGTAGAGATATCCTCTGTCAGACCTATATATATTCATGCATATAGTTCCATTTGCCTTCCCACCCCTGTGCAGACTGCCTATCTATGTATCTACTTTTAAATTGTTGTTAACATTTTTGTAGGATTCTGAATGTAACAGTGTTCACCTTTGTTGCCTTTAACTCTTGCACTTGTCCTTGCATCTTCCACTACCTTGATCATTTTGTGCTGACCTCCCCCTTGTTGTATAATTGCCTTTCCCTTCACCTAAGTAAATACATGTCTAAGATCTTTCCTAACACACAACTCTGTCAGTGATAGGATAATATCCATATGCCTACAAGGAAGATCAGTTAATATTACTATTGTTCAAATTAAGGCACCAACCATTAAAGCCAAAGATGAAGATACTGAAGATACAAACTTCTGCAGTCTAAAATTTGACCAAACATGCAATCAAATTGTATTAATGATTA